AGGAGAGATTTCAAAGCAGTTAAAAGGAAGTCCAGCTAGAAGTAGACAGAGCAAAATCCAATACTGGGTCCTGGATGGCGAGGAAGGTATCCTTCTAACCAAATGAATGAAAACGTAGCAGATGCAGACAAGTTCAAGGAAGGAGGGGAAGACTGGGAGGAAGACATTTAGAGACCCTGAAATAGTCTCTAATTGCTTTGCAAAGTAAGGGATGAGATCACTGTGTGAGTGAGGGAGGATGTTAATGGGCTTCAAGAATGAACAAAAGGATTTGACAAAACTGAGGGCCCTAACTACAGACAGCCAGGTTAAGGATTGCATGTACACATAGGAATGAATGTCAGTGTGCAAGTCTGACAGGGTGGGTTCACCTGAGTTATGAATGGGGAATGTGTCAGTGAGGAGGCAGAACTGGTGATGTGGAGAGAGGAGAAAAGGGACAAGAACGTGTGTGCATGCACACGCGTGTGTGTATGTGTGCATATGCATGTGCCTGTGCATGTAGAAGATCATAAGTGAGTGTGGGTCGGTGAAAAAAATGTTCAAGTGGATCAGTCTCAGGAGGGACCAGGAAGGGGAATAGGAGTAGGAAAGGAAGAAAAGTAAGCCTGAGAACTCCCAAACCATTTTGTTTGTAAGCTGTTAGTACAGCATAATAATACTAAATAATAGATTTTAATTCTAAGTTGTAAGACAAAGAAAATATGCTCATTTAAAAAAAATCTTAAATTTGATAGCAAGTTAGGGATTGATTTCTTAAAAACAGCCCCCAAAGCACAAATGGTAGGATAAAAGATGGATGCATTTGATTACTTTTATTAATTTATTTTTAATTTTATTAATTAATAAATTAGTGTATTGGTTTTTATTTTTAAACATTTAACCAATGTGATTAATTGATTAATTTTAAGTTAAAATGTAATGTTTTTGAGATAAAAAGTAAACACACAAGCCACAATGGGAGGAGATAATTGTAATACATACAGACAAGAGTAGCATAAAGCGCACCTAAAGAAAACATCAAACAAAAGACAAACAATCCATTGGAAAAAATATGCAATAACCTGAAGAGGCATTTCACAGAAGAAGAAACATGAATAGCTAATAAACATGTGAAAAGATGATCAACCTCATTAGTAATCAGAGCAATGCAAATTCAAAGCAAAATTAAATATCATTTTACACCCACCAGATTGGCAAAAATTTTAGTCTGAAAATTTAAGTACTACTGAAGACGAAGAGCAGCAGGAGCTGTTATATGCTGTCAATAGGAGTATAAATTGGTCCCAATGCCTTGGAAAACAATTTGGAATTACTTTGTAGTTGAACATTTGCTTACCTTTCTACCTAACAATTCTACTCCTAGATATTTCCCTAGAGAAGCACTAGTACAGGTGTGTGAATGTTCAGAGAGGTAATGTTTGCAAAAGGAAAAAGAAAACTGGAATCATCTCAAATATCCATTGACAGAAGGATAGCTAAATAAATTGTTATGAATGCATAAATGGATTTTACTATGGTAGTAAAATAATGAATGAACTGCAGCCATAAGCATTAACAGAGATGGATCTCACAAACAAAATATTGAATGAAAACGACAGATCACAGGAATACATACAAAATGATGCCATTTATGTAAAGGTGAAAAACTCACAAAACCAAATAATATTTTGTTCATGGACACATACATGTACAGTAAAATGACATTGAAAAAATATTGAATAATCCAAAGACTAAAGTAACAATTACTTCTGCCAGGGAGACAGAGAACTGGAATATGTCTGAATGGGCAATGCTCTGTGTCTTTTATTTATTTATTTTTAAATTTTTTTAGAGACAAAGTCTCACTCTGTCACCCAGGCTAGAGTGCAGCGGCACAGTCACAGCTCACTACAGCCTGGAACTCCTGGGCTCAGGCAGTACTTCCACCTCAGTCCCCTGATTAGCTGGGAATAAAGGCACGGCTGATCCTCTATTTCCTAAGCTTGGTGGTTTATTATTCTATGGGCCTATGAACACATTACCTGTAGTCCTTCATATGTATGAAATATATGATTATAATAACAAATGTAAATCAAGGCAAAAATTTAAAAGGAAATGAAACGCCAAGTATACAGAAGAAAACTTGGTGTTGGTATAAAACATATACATTTAGTTTAAATATATAAATCTTGTGACTTTCACTCTGAACTACATACAGAATTGACTGGGCCTTGCAAAGCCACAGTCCTTTGAAAGAATGGTTGAATATTTGAAAAATGGGGAAAAAAATCAAGTTACTGTTTCATTTTTGATAGGTAAGAAGTACTTTATTATAATGAGTCTGTCAGTTTAACCTCTGTACATAAAGAACACAAGATTACCAAAAGAATGTAGTAATCTCTAGAATATGTTCTGTGAAACACCAGACATTAAATGTTCTGTAATCAAATGTATTCAGGAATGCTAGATACTACACCCACTCTTAGAAATTCATAAGTAAGCACTTAATGTGTCTGCTAGAGTATTTTTCCCAACTTGAAAACTCAAATATTAATGAAAACTTAAATATTCTCTATGAGAGATGTAGAGAGTCTATAAATGAAATCTCTTGCAAGGTCTGAGATTTCCTGCATCATTGACATCTGACAATGTTCATCTCATTCTTCGGCTCTTTCCCCTCTGCTCACGTTTCAAATGTTAGTGTTCCTTAGGCTCATTCCTGTTCCTCTTCTCAATCTCTTTTCCTCCTCTGCAATCTATAATCTGATCATTTCAAGATCTCTCTATTCAGACCTGACTTTTCCAGACTCATATTCTAAATTTATGTTGGAATTTCTCAAGCTATGATCCCACAGACATCTCAGATTTAACACATCCAAACCAGACTCTGTTACTTCACATCCTACAATAACTTGGTCTCTGGATTCTCCATTTTAATCACGGTGTCACCATCCCATCTAGTTTTCAAATTAGAAATCACTTCAGTTGAACTCTTGCATCTTCTTGCATTTATTTTGTCATTTTTCAGGAGTGTTCCTTGGCTTAAAGATTGGAGGTCTTTATTTTCTCCAATCCTTTGTCACATCTTAGTCTCCAGTTTTATTATGTCTTAATTGGGCCATTCTGTCACCAATATTTCCCATATGCAGTTCATAATTCATATAGTATTATCATAAGCATCTAATCATGTTATTTCCTGTTAACATGAAATAACATGTTCTGTTATTTTTTCTGTATGGAAAACCTCCAGAGACTCTATACAGGTGATAGACAGCCTGTTAAGGTGATAGACAGTACAATGTGTTAGGTGCTACATGGAGGGCCAATAGATTTTTGGTAGTTTAGAAAAGGAAGTGCCCATCAGATGTTGATAGAAGATGATATTTCTGGGTATTAAAGTATGACTAAGAGTTTGCTTGTTGGATGAAGAGGGACAGAGACAGCTGCAGAGTCTTGACAATTTCTCTTTGTCTCTGCCTCTGAACTAGTGATGACTTGACTATAGAAAGTCTTGATTATCATGAGGGCCAGTGCTATCATAACCCTAAACTTTGTGCACAATAGAAAAAGATGATTCTGCAAAATAAATGATCATCAGAGCAAACAGACAACCTACAAAATGGGAGAAAATTTTTGCAATCTTTCCATCTGACAAAGGTCTAATATCCAGTCTACAAGGAACTTAAACAAATTTACAAGGAAAAAACAAACAAACAACCCCATTAAAAAGTGAACAAAGGGCTGGGCGCGGTGGCTCACATCTGTAATCTCAGCACTTTCAGAGGCCAAGGCGGATGGATCACCTGATGTCAGGAGTTCGAGACCAGCCTGACCAAAGTGACGAAACCCCGTTGCTACTAAAAATACAAAAGTTAGCTGGGCGTGGTGATGTATGCCTGTAATCCCAGCTACTCAGGAGGCTGAGGCAGGAGAATCACTTGAACCCAACTGGTGGAGGTTGCAGTGAGTCGAGATTGTGCCACTGCACTCCAGCCTGGATGACAGAGTGAGACTCCATCTCAAAAAAAAAAAAAAAGTGGGCAAAGGACATGAACAGACATTTCTCAAAGGAAGACTTTTATGTGACCAAAAAGCATGTAAAAACCAGCTCAACATCACTGATCATCAGAGAAATGCAAATTAAAAACACAATGAGATACCACTATCTCATGCCAGTCAGAGGGGCAATTATTAAAACATCAAAAAACAACAGATGCTAGTGAGGCTGTGAAGAAATAGGAATGCTTTCATACTGTTGTTGGGAATGTAACTTAGTTCAACCATTGTGGAAGACAGTGGGTGATTCCTCAAAGACCTAGAACCAGAAATGCCATCTGACCCAGCAATCCCATTACTGGGTATATACCAAAATAAATATAAATCATTCTTTGTAAAGATAGAGGCATGCATATGTCCATTGCAGCACTATTCACAATAGCAAAGACATGGAATCAGCTCAAATGCTCATCAATGACAGACTGGATAAGCAAAATGTGGTGGATATACACCATGGAATACTATGCAGCCATAAAAAGGAACAATATCATGTCCCTTGCAAGGACATGAAGGGAGCTGGAAGCCATTATCCTCAGCAGACTAATGCAGGAACAGAAAACCAAATACCACATGTTCTCACTTATAAGTGGGAGCTGAACAATGAGGACATGGACAAAGGGAGGGAAACAACCCATATTGGGGCCTGTCGGAGGGTGGAGGGGGAGGAGGGAGAGCATCAGGAAAAATAGCTAACACATGCTGGGCTTAATACCTAGGTGATGGGTTGGTAGGTACAGTAAACCACCATGACACATGTTTGCTTATGTAACAAACCTGCATGTCCTGCACATGTACCCTAGAACTTAAAGTAAAATAAAATGAGTAAAAAAAAAAAAAAAAAAAAAAAAAAAAGAGATCCTTTTAGGTGAGGTATTACTAAAAGGCAATGAAAAGAAAAAATGTGTTTCTCTATACTTAACAATTCTGGACACCAAATGTATGGGGTTTTTTTTTCCCCCATGCCAACCAATTCTCCGACACCAGCTGGGTCTACTACAACTCAATTCAGTTCTGACACTAACTAACCAGAGTTAGCGTAGACCACACAGGTAAAGGCCTCAGTCCCACAAGACTGCCCTACATTTCAAATGCCAGTTGCAGACCTGGGCCTCTCATAATTTCTGACCAACCAGCAGTAAATCAGGGGTGCTTACCACTTCCTCCTTGGGTTGGATGATTTGCTAGAATGGCTCACAGCATTTAGGAAAGCAGTTTATTTACCATTGCTGGTTTATTATAAAGGATACAACTCAGGAACAGCCAAATGGAAGAGATCCAAAGGGCAAAGGATGTGAGAAGGGGAGCTGCATGCCCTCTCCAGGTCCACCACCCTTCCAGAACTTTCACATGTTCACCAACCCAGAAGTTCTTGGAACACCATTGTTTAGGGGTTTTATGGTGGTTCCATTCTGTAGGTAGAATTTGATTAAATCAATGGCCATTGATGGTTGAGCTCAATCTTGAGCTCCTCTCCTATCCCCTTACGTTGGGGGATGAGGCTGAAAATTCCAATCCTCTAATCATATGATTGGTTTCCCTGGCAACTAGCCCTATCCTGAAGCTGTCTAGGGAGCCCGCCCACCAGGCATTCATATTACTCTGGAGATTCCAAGGGTCTTAGAAGCGCTGTGTCAGAAACTAGGGACTAAGGCCAAAAACTATAACAAAAGATGTTCCTATCATCCCTATGACTCAGGAAATTACAAGAATTTTAGGACCTCTGTGCCAGTGATTTGGAACAAAGATCAAATGTTTATTTCTTAGTACATCACAATATCATAGTATTTCTTCCTCTGGGTTGATACAGACAGAACCAAGGTGCAACTCTTATACAAGGAGGATTTCAGGCCCCACACACTTCCAGCCTCTACACACCCCTAGCCCCGTACCTGTGTGTAGGAGACACGCTACACAGCCATAACCTGCAGCTCTGAGTCTGACTCAACAGTCCTGTATGTTATATGGCCCATGATTGCCCCAACCAAATGTAGCATTTGCAGCTCTTACCTTTGGCAGCTATACTATCCTTGGCAGCCAGCCTGCTGCTAGGTGACAGTTTCTCTTAAACTACTGAGATGAGCCAATCAGTCCACACAAATGAGAGTTTTCATAGGTCTGTGACAGACTCCAACTAAAATGTGGTTTTCTACCCAAAGCTTTAGTGTCCTGCTTCATATGAAGTACAATTTAATTACAAAATAGCAAGTGCTTCCCAAGCCAATGAGGTATCTCTAAATACACGACCTAAGGCATGAACATGCTGATGTGAATGTAAACAACAGTCACACATAAAATAAATTAGTCAGTGTGCAATGAATTTAGAAAATACTTCAAATAAATAGAGGAGACTAAATGATATTTATTCATTTAATCAACAAATATTTATTGAGCCTCTATTACATGGCAAGTATTACCCTAGATCCTGGGAAAACAGAGATTAACCAAATAAACAATACTCACAAAATTTGCAGTCTAATGGGAGGAGAAAGACAACAAATTTAAAAATCTCTGCTATGTTGAGTGGTGATAAATGTTGTGGAGAAAAGTAAAGTTGGATGAGAAGACTAGGGAATGCCCTGGTGAGGCATGAGGGCATTTGATATTTGATGTAGAGTGGTCAAGAGAGAACCCTCTCAGAAGGAGCTGTTGTCAGGGGAAGATCAAAAGCCCTGAGCTAGAAATATGTGTGTGTGTGTGTGTGTGTGTGTGTGTGTGTGTGTGTACCTGGCCTGCTTCTTTTTCCTTCAGTGTTTGTCTTTTTACAATCAGTTCAAAAGAGCAATTTTTCTATTAAAAATATCAACCCTTTGAATTCCATTTACGTTACCAACATTTTCCCCTCACTTTGTCAGTGTAGTTTTCCTTTGTGATTTTTTTGCACCAGTGGAATTTTGATCAGAATTGCACTCAAATACATTAATTATCTGGGGGAAATTTACACGTCTGCAGCCTTTAGTCCTCCCATTTAGTAAAACTAGTCTTGAAAGTCCCACAACTTTTTATTAAGGTGATTCTTTGGTTTTTAAAACTATTTTTGCTGTTATTATGAATGTAGGATTATTTGGCTCCATTGTACTTTCTAACTGTTGTTTCTGGTTATAAGAGAAAACTATTAGTTTTTGGAGCACAGTGGCTCATGCCTGTTATCCTGACACTTGAGAAAATGATTTGTTTTTAAGTGTATATGTTTCTGTATACAGCCATTTTCTCAAACTCCCTTATTTAAACAGTTTTTAGTTCTTTTCCACTACTTATAAACAATTATTTCATCTAGCTATAATATTTCTGTTTCTTCTCATCATCAACATTTCATGTCTTAATTACACTCACTGAAATTTCCAGGACTTTAATGAAAAAAGATAACAGTAAAGTCATTTTTCTAGTTCCTGATTCTAACAACGTATATCGCTAATATTTTTACAATTACTTGTGATACCAGCCTTTAGTTTAACAGAGGTGTTCTTTATTAGGTGTTAAAGGAATATCCCTTTAGTCATAGATTAAAACATTCTTATTTGGACTGTATATTACATTTTATCAAATCCTTTTTGGTATCTGTCAAAGAAATGATGAGTTGCTTCTTGTTTAAATGGCTAATACCATAAATTAATTTAATATAGGGTCTATTAGAATGTTTTTTAGAGAACATGTTTTCCACAAGCTGGTCCATGAAAAAAAATTGGGGGTGGGGAGATTGTTGTCTGATAAAATAATTTGGGGAAAATGCTACATAGTATAGTTTCTTCTTAGAAATTAATTTGCTCATTAGCATATTAAAGATTCTGAGAAGTCCAGTAGTCAAGAATTCCATTAACTTTGTTAAACCCTTCATTTCCAAATATTACCTGTCCCCCCTCCCTCATATAGCATTAATTAGCATCCCCTTGACTTGGGTTCAATCTAACACACTTGAGATGTGTTATATTAATAGCTTTCCTTATATTAAATCATCCTTGCACTCCTGGAATAGAAACACCTTGGCCATAGAGTGTGGTTTTTTAATCTAGTGCTAAGAACAGTTGGTTAGGTTTTAATTGAGGATTTTGAGTCTGTAATTATAAATGGGATGGTACTGTCACTTTTTTTTGTCTCTGCCCCCTTTTGGCTGTTTCTCTGATTTTAGTATCAGTGTGATTCTGGATTGGTGATATGAATTGGGAAATGATCCACAATTTTCTGGGCTCTGGAACAATTTATGCTGCATGGGGAATTATCATAGGATTTTATTTTCTTAATTTGAAATATTTTCTACAAAATAGCCAAAAGAGAAATGAACCCAAACACAGTGCTAACTGGTTGTCAGTGAGCTTGTAATTAAATCCCCTGTTAGCTTTATTTTCTTTACTGATGAGGCTTCAAGTGTCTTCATTTTTCCTCTTTGTGGGTAAACACGATTGCTCTTTGCCCCAGAGGGTTGACGGTTCAGACAGCCTACTCTGCTTAGAAGCAATCACTCCTTGCTCTTGTCACTCCAGATCACCGTAGAACAGGGAAGCATCACAGTCAGGTCAGGGAAGCAGGAAATGATAGAATCCCAGGCAGGAGAACCAGACTTCTCCATGAGCATGTTGTCCCTGAGGCTGAGAACAAAGTAGGGTGACAAGTATGAAGGCCTGGAGGGAGGGAGGCAACAGAGATAGGTGAATTGTGAGGTCTAGAATCCCAAGAAGAAGTCGAAGAGTATTGATCCTGTTTTAAAAACACTTTCGTTGAGGCCGTGTTGAGAGAATGTTGGACATTTACGGTCTGTAAATGGGGAGAGGGAGTGCTAAGTCCACTTCTGAGGCCAGTTCCTCCCCAAGTCACAGAACTCTTTATTCAGAGAAATGTCATATTATCATAGACAAAATACTTCACACAGCTAAGGTCTTAGGCATAAAAACACATAAAAATGGATACATACCTTCTTTCCTGGCATGGGGATTGCTCCACATTAAAAAGCAGAATACCTTAGCCATGCATTCCAGTCTCATAGCAGGCGCCTAGCTATGTGTTTGGTGTTTGTGAGTAAGTATCTGGTGTTTGTTCAGTAAAGATGCGTATTGTCTTTCCTTGCTTTTATGCAATAGATGTGTTTCTAAAAGGTGGGGCACACATTAAAATTAGAGAATTAATCTTTTTTTCCAGGTGAGAGAGATATATATACACACATATATATCCTTAGGCATTAAATGTGTCTGTTTTTTAATCCATCTTTAGTCGGTGTTTCTGAGCTTGGAAACTTCTTCACCTTTCCTTATCCCGGTACTCTTAAGGTGTGATAATGGTCTCAGATACTTCAATATATTAAATTTTAAAAATTATTATATTAATATTCAAAATATTTTTTTTCTAAATAAGTTGATAAGTTGCCAGTGTTCTCTATTTCTTTCTTCATAGGCTGGGTAGCTTGTACCTCTGTCTAAAATACAAATTGCACATAATACAATTCTTTAACCAAATATAAGTTGTGTTTCTTTTGAGACAAAAAAGAAACTGCTAAGATTACATGTCTCTGAGTTATTCTCTGTAATGTGATGAATGCCAAAAACAAGAAACATGGATAGTAGAGGAAAAGAGCGATGATCAACAGCAAAGTGGTTCCCTTCACCCCTCTCTATACCCCTCTCCTCCCTTCAGAGAAGCACATTCATCTAAGTGAATTGTTGGGAGAAACTTCTAGTCCATTCATCCATCCAAGGATCCCTGCACAATGCAGGCATATGTTTAACACACTTATTAAATGCTATTTTTTTATCTAGTAGTGTACAGCAAAAATAATATTAATCAAAGGAAAATTTTGGTAGTCTATTGCAATATGAAATCAGGATTTGAATGCCTGTAATATTATAACCAACACTGAGTTCTTTGAAGTTCCTTGATTCTCACAAAGCTAAAAATCATTCCTTACCCTGGATTAGAGAAAAATCTGATTTTCCTGTTTCATTGCCTTCTTGAAAGAGATGATGTGGGAAAGTGTCACGATGAATTGTTGAGGCTGAATCAGATGATATTGATTTTGTGTCTAACCCAGCTGTACTTTCTCAGTTCCAACACCTCACAGGGAAATACATAGAGGCCATTTCCACAACAGACACCTGTGACTTGATAAAATTATTGGGTAGGGACATGGGAAAACATATTTTTCTCCATAGCCATGCTTACATGTTTTTCTTTTTTTTTTATTTTACCCCTTTCCCTGCCTCCCTTTTTTGTGATTGTATAGAATATGCCAACATTGTGAAGGGACATCTTGGGAGGTGAGGCTAGTTCCCTGGGACTAGATTCTCCATTGTCATGAGCCAGGTCACCACGTCATTCCCCTCTGTTAACTGACTATAGAGTCCGCAGATGTTCCACAGTGGGTGGAGGTACTAATCTGAGCCCTGTGCCCAAGCCACCTTGTGACCCAGGTTTTAAAGTCATGTGGGAAGCAAAGAAACAGATGCAAAAGACAACATGCGGAAAGAATGAACACAACTCAGTGACTAACGGGGCATGCAGGATCAGGAAGAGCTAAAAGTTAAGAGTTACATTCATATCCTGGAGAATGAGGTGCCCCCATCCAATTAATCCATTAATTAATCAAACATTCAGGAGCTGGAGCCATTCACTCTCTGACATACTCTTTGGCTGTATTAATATGGGCATTCATTCCTGAACCACAAGCAGAAGGAAACAGTACTTAAAACCATGGTCGTGAGCACTTAGTTTTTCTTCTCTGACGATGTACAAATCGGTAGTCGCACTTGTAAAAAGCCTTTCATGTAAATCTGGGCACCATCCTGAATGCATCAGTTCTATTAACAGCATGCTAGTTTTGGAGAATTGCTACCAACCCAGCCTGAGGTGAATGGCAGCTGCTTTTCTCTGGTCAGGGCTACTTAAAGAAGTGGCAAGTCCAAAGCCATTTAAAAACTGAAAAGTGGCCTTGTGATAAATAAAATGACACTTCTGAGGCTGAACATCCTTGAAAGAACTTTGTGCTGACAGAGAACTACAGAAGCTTTCGATGGGAAGCTGGCATGCAGATGTCACCGTGGGGCTTTGTTGATTGTGAAACTGGAAGCCATAGCAGTAAGTGGGTGCGTGGGGGCAACCAAAAGCAGGAGGATGGCCTTGCCTGTGTCTGTAGGACGACTTGAGACAGTAGCTGCCACCAGAGTCCCTTAGGTGTGTGCTTTACAACTGCAGGATGGTACAAATGACACTCTTAATTTTCTGAGAGTTTGCTTTGCAGTGAAGATTTAAGACACTGAGATTAATTTAGTTAAATTGATATTTCCCCTCGTGATTTCAGGGATTTAACAGTGAATAAGCCTCTTGATGTTAATCTATCTCCTGGGGGGGTCCAATAAATTACAGAAACATGTATTACCATTTTTTGGAGCTTCCTCTTCATTTATTCTCCTTTCTATGGCATAATGTATATGGCCAGGCCTTTGCTACAATTTGTTATTTATAAAAAGTACAGAGCACATTTCAATCCTACCAGATGAAGTCAGAATTCTAACTGAGCTATGGGTCAACTGACTAGAAAAAAGAATTTAAGATCCCGATGACATGGCTGTCTGTGAGGGATACGGTTTGGATTTATATCCCTGCCCAAATCTCATGTTGAATTGTAATCCCCAGTGTTGGAGGAGGGGCCTGGTGGGAGGTGACTGGATCATGGGAAAAGACATCCCCCTTGCTGTTCTTGGGGCAGTGAGTGAGTTCTCACAAGACCTGGTTGTTTAAAAGTGTGTAGCACCTCTTCCTTTTCTCTCTTCCTCCTGCTCTGGCCATGTAAGACTTGCCTCCTTCCTCTTTTACTTCCGCCTTGATTGTAGGTTTCCTGAGGCCTCCCCAGCCATACTTCCTAGGTAGCCCATGGAGCCATGAGCCAACTAAACCTCTTTTCTTTGTGGATTGGCCAGTCTCAGGTAGTTCTTTGCAGCAATGTGAGAATGGACTAATACAGTAAGGCTTGTGGAACCTCGAGTGGTGATTTGGGTTGGATTCCTGACATCTCCTTGGTATATCCTTAGACACATCATTGAGTCTCTGTGCTACATCATCATTAAGAAAACATCAGCAAAATGGGAAAAAATATGTTAGCAGAGTCTTACTTAGGAACAGGCTGCATTCCAAAATTATTCAACTAATTTGGACAAATTGAGTGTCTACTATGTGCCAGACATAGTTGACTTAGATAGATAGGGCACCTTTGCCAACAAATAGCCCTTTACTGGCAAGTTTCCAGTTAGTTTGCAAGTCAGCTATGTATAAATTGGTATACATTTTCCTAAAGAGACAAATTTTGAAACAGTGGTTAGATTCTCAGGACAATTCTCAGAAGCTAAGTTAATTCATAATGAAGTGGAACTCAATTTCTAATGGAATTCTCAAACCTAACTACCATTTACACAGTGATTTTTAACCCTGGTTGCTGCATACCACATTATAACCACCTAGGAAAGCTTAAAAAATTTAGTAAATACCAGCTGGGCATGGTGGCTTATGCCTGTAATCCCAGCACTTTGGGAGGCCAAGGTGAGCGGATCATGAGGTCAGGAGATCGAGACCATCCTAGCTAACATGGTGAAACCCTGTCTCTACTAAAAATGCAAAATTTAGCCAGGCGTGGTGGCGGGTGCCTGTAGTCCCAGCTACTCAGGAGGCTGAGGCAGGAGAATGGCATGAACCTGGGAGGTGGAGCTTGCAGTGAGCGCAGATCACGCCACTGCACTCCAACCTGGGCGACAGAGTGAGACTCTATCTCAAAAAAAAAAAAAAAAAAAAAAAAAAAAAAAAAAAAAAAAATTTAATAAATACCAATACCCAAACTATGCCCACAGGACAATAAAATCAGAATCCATTACCAGTAACATTGGTGGACAATAGAGCTTGAGAAAGAGTAGAAAGGAATGGGAAGCAATGCATCTAGGGAGATCAAGGCTGTGACTGAGGGATAGGGGCTAGGATTCCAGGGGGTGCAAGGTGTGGTCTGGGGTATTGTGGCGTTGGTGGCTAGAATAACAAGAGAAGATGCCTCTCTGGAAAAAGTAGTAGCACTGTGGGCTTGTACCCTATAGGAGATTTTTGTCTTTTGACAGTAAACCATTTTTCAGGAGTAAGAAGATGATGCAAGGGCCTAGAATATTCAGCTCCAGAAGCACAAGGATTGGTGCTTCAATGATAAGGAGGGAGCTGATAACCTAAGTGGTCAGCACCACTCATCAGTTTCCTTTTGTCCAGTTCATGAGGAATGAAAGAAGCTACCTTCAATCCACTTTCTTATTTTGGGGTGAGGCTTTCACAAAATGCAATGCCTTATGTTTCCCCTCTGAATATGTAGTTCTTTTTATCATCTTGGCCTGATTATGGGCCCTTAAGACTCAGCAGAGCTAAGGGGAGGGGAAGGGAATCAAGAGAACCACCAAGAGAGCTCCAAAAGCAAGAGCTGGCAGGTAATTCTGTTCATCTATGCCTGCTCTGTAACAGCTTTCAGAGCTCAGGAGCTCTTACCTTCAGTCACTTCCTTGCAACCCTTGCAGTCAGAATTTCAGGGTTCGGAAACATAGGCCTAAAATGTTATCACCAAGTGGTGAAAGCAGATTTGCTGAGTGGATGATTCCCTTGGCTGTTTTGC